TGCAAAATGAACAGTTTTTTATAATTTTATTCAATTTAAAATAATAAAATAATATCAAAAATTCAAAAATATTCAATAATACTTTTAGGAATAGAGAATGTAAAATAACTTCTCTCTTTCCCTTATCCGACACTCTTTAATTAATTTTAAAATTACTAAACCTTGATTGCAATAAAATTAACTATTGAATTGAATTAATTATCAAAGAATCTATTTAAAAACTACTAGGATTGATTTTAAATTACATTTAAGTATATAATGTTCTTTTTTTCAATTACAAATTGTGTACTTACATTATATCTATTTCATCCACTTGTATAATACTCCTTGTCGCAACTGAACAATCGCAACAGTACGGCAAAAAAATGTATTTAAAAAAAATATCTTTCAAAAATAAAAATATTTTTCTAAAAATTAGAGGAGTCGCCACTAAATTTTTATTTTTTTTTAAATAACATGATCTTTAAAACCAAAAATAAGTTTGAGAGTCATTTACGTGTAAGGAAGGTATTAGCACCATACATCGTCCGTTTAAAAATTGTTACCTTAAATTAATGGTGCAAATTCATCTTAATTTTGAAAAAATATTTATTTAACCCCCAAACATTAATTATTTTTATTTTAAAAGAAAAAAATTATTTATTAAAATGTTAACTCAGTATTTAAGAAAATATATTTTGAAAATTATTTTGATTTGACGGATCTAGTTCCAACTCCTATGTATTCTCGATGCAATGAAAAACTCAAAGTGACGTAATTCTATCTTTAAATTATGAAGTTAGTTGATTAAAATTAAGTTTAGTAAAGAAGATTTATTTTGAGATTAATTTATAAAATAATATTTAAGATATGAGATGACGCGGTTATACACGTATCTTACGAGAAATAATATAGAAGGTAAAAGAAGATCATACAACCATATTGCAAATCATTAAAATATGTTTTTATTTGTAAATAAAATATTTGAATTTATATTTTAAATTATAATTAATATTGAAAGAGAATTTAAGATAACATAAGCTATACATAAATCTCTTATAATATGTTTTTCTCCTCTTTTATTGCTAGAATTTTCATAAAATGTCAAAAATTTGAAAATTTTCTTTTTTATGTATAAAGTAATATTAGTTTAAGAGTTTGGTTATTTGTCATATTCTATTTTTCTTTTAAAAATTAATTCTGAATTTTTCTATTTTATTAAGATAAATTTTTGTATTTTTCTTAAAATACTTTATTTTCATTGTCCTTTTATAATATTAGAATTCAGATTTTTTTAAAAATTAAAATTTTGGTGTTCACACTCCTATTAAAAGTTTTGTGTCAATAAAAAAAGTCAAAATTCAATAAAGATACATTCTTTCAAAAAAAAAAAAAGTCATGCCTTAATTAAGATTATAATTATTAACTTTACTAAAGAGGGGGGGTTGAGGGGTTCATTAAATACAAATACCAACCCATGCATAAGTTTGGTCAAACAATGAGAATTTGTAAACTACCATCATTTATATCTGATTTATTAATTATTGACAGAGATGGCTTGTTTATTAAATTCTTTTGTTAAAATGCCATAACAAGTTATTGCAATATATTCGCACCATCCTTAATAACTTATTAATTAAGAATTATATTTATCGTAATTAATTAATTGATTGATATTATAAAATTTTATATTAATTTTTTTTTATAATTTTATATCATTTTGATACCAAAATTATAAATAAATATGAAAGAAAGATCGCGAGAAGAAAGTGAACAAATCGTAACTATTAGTATCGGAACTCATCGATTAGTTTGACCGATGACATTAAGAGTAAATTCTGGATAATTTAGAAATTAATTGAAAATTATTCAAATTTAAAAATTTTATTTAATCAATTAATTTTTAAATTTTATTTAAACCACTTAAAATTAAATAAGAATTGATTAAAAATAAGGAATCAGTCTTTACATAAAAAAAAATTTGTTGATTTTTAAAGTTAGCTATAAAATATTTTTAAAATAAATAAAATTTTAGGGTTGAATTTAAACAACTATTAATAATAAAATTTTACAAAAAAAATATTTATTATATATTTATAATTTTAATATAATTAATTTATTTTTAATAAAATTTTACTATTTTCCATGTTTAAACTCCACCATAAAAGTTGAGGACATGAATGCTCAATGATTATTATTTAACTCTTAGTATAATACTTTCATGATATGTATTATGGTTCTTTTATATTAATTTATGATTTCAATAAATTTAATTTTATATATATTTATACTGATTTATTACTTGAAATAATATATAATATTAAAAAAAATGGTATCATTACTTATTCTAACTATAACAAAACAAACAAATCGTATTAGTACCTTTATTGATTCAGGTTTTAAAAATATTTAAAGAAATAAAAGAAAGATTTAGTGGGGAGAAAAGTGAGAAAAGACAAATTTCAAATTATAGAGAAGGAAGAGGAAGAAATTTATTGACATTCTTTTTGTTAAAAATAAGATGTGTTGGAGAAATATGAAAATCAAAGCGTCATAATATTGCAAGAGTTATATTTTAAAGTTTGATTTGACAATTTTTTTATCAGTCACTCTGCATAACATAATGATAAAAAACGACATCTTTTTTATTACTCTCAATGACTTTTTATTAAAAATTTTATGTTATTGTTATACAGAGATAGTACATTTTTTAAATTAATTTACTGTATCTTTAAAAGAATTTACAATTAAAATTTTTAAAAATAATTTTAAATGTTTTTAAATTAATTAAAAAAATACATTTTCAGAAATGCCATTCCGTCAAATAACTTCAAAAACAATAACTGAAAGTAAGATAAATTTAATTAATTTTTAATTTAATTATTTATATATAATTATACAGCCTAAATTTATCAGTTTAATTAGTTATTATCATATGAAAAATAGTATATATTATAAGCTGAAAATGCTAAGCCCTAAATTATAAACTGGTGTCTTGGCAGACATTAAACAAAAAGTTTGGAACTAGTTTTCATAAACTTGGAAGATAAAAAATAACAAAAGACAATAGGTTTTGATAATATAATATAATTTCATTAGCTCACGCAATTCGCTGAGAAGTTGTGTATCCACTAAGTGCACTTAAGTCCCAAACTTTTAGTTGCTTTAGGGTATCCAACGGTACAATCTTGAATTAAAGGAGAGACGTGTAAAGTGCATATGATTGATAAGAAAAAATGGGCATATGCAATACTATCCCTGTGAAGGAGTTGTTTGGATTCGGCTTTTGCATAACATGAATTTGATCGTTTGATTTTGAGGGTCCACCTGCTGCAACGCAAGTGACATAAAAGCCTTATCTGACATACCATATAGTATTTTAGGTCCTTTGCATAGAAATTCTCTGTTCCCCTGTGACGTTTCATCGTTTGTCACCTGCTCTTACATGACACCAGCACATCATTTGCATGGCTAACTAATACCAGCTCCATAATTTCCCTTTTATATTTATATCTTTCTGCACCACAAATTTTTGTGGAGTTGGTTTTTCTCAGAAAAAATTTAAATATTTTGCTTAAGTAGACAAAGAAATCATTAATGTGTATAATTATAAAAGTTGGATTCATCCAGGTGGTTGAACCATAATAATATTTGTCGAATTGGATTAAGTATACAACTAGATTGGTCATAATAAATTAGACTAAAATTGGTTTTGTTGTTGTTGATTTAATTTGTGATCCCGAATCTATTTCTTGTCTAATTCTTGAAACTATCATTAAGTATTTGTGAATAACTTGAGTTGTTAAGCTCAAACACGAAAACCATAATCCAAAATAAAGTGGCCTTCAATTGTATATGCAATTTTGTTATACCCCAATTTAAGGATTTATCATCCATGCATTTTCAGGTGGCGTCTCATTAGGTACACCAATAACAAATTTATGCATTGTATCTGAATCAATAACATATAATTATTATTATCTTTCATTTGCTTTTTTAATATACATGCATCTTGAATACATCTCAGAATTAGAAAGGACAACTTTTTTATTGTATCATTTTAATGTTCACAAAATATTTTTAAATAATTAGTAAATAGTGTTTGAAAATTATCTATATACATCCAACAGTTATCATTAATGGTGTGGTGTTACACCAGGTGGATTAAAATAATGATCGATAGTAAAGATTTACTGTTGTTTTTATAGGGTAAAAATTATGCATTTACTGAATAGTTCCCTTCTCTCAGAAATGGACATCAAAAGGTGCCACAAAATTTCAGTTTGCAGGAGGCGATAAGCTGGCTATTGCAGACTGTGAAGAGGGTAAAGGAAGGTAGAAAGATATTTTGAAGGTTGTGCTTTCCTTTTTCCCTTTCCTTTTGTATCTTCTTTTCAATCTTTGATTCTTTTCTCTCAAGTCTGATGTCAAAAGCAAAGCACACGGCCAAATGGGACAATGGCAACGAAATTTCCACTACTTGCCAATATACCAAAGTCACATTCATATTTGGGACTAGGTCATTTTGCATTGGTCCATACCTTGCCCTACTTGCCACACCATAGTAGTATAACCGTAAAATCAAAGGGATTACCTATGGATTTGGTACCAACCTTGTTTAATATTTTAAACGATTTTAATTGTGATTAGGTATGCAAGTAAACCCATCTGTGACCACCGGACCCCACTGTATTCTTAAAATAACTACATACTTTCATTACCATATCTTCACATTGTCTCTGTGGGTATGTTACTATGTATCTCTCCTCTGCTAGGCTTAACTTTTTATCCCTATTAAGGCCAAAAACTGAACAAGCCCCACCTACTGTAAGTTGCCCTTTTAAGACTATATGCACCACAGATCTCTCGTGAATAATAATAATAATAATAATAATAAAATTATCATTCTCCCAGGGTCACCATGCCTGTGAGTGGTACTATATATTATATAATTATATATATGAAACTCCAGTGAAAAGTTTTCATACTCTCTCATGTTCTCCAACCTCAAGCCTGTTTACACTATTGCTCAGTTTTGTTCCACTAGTACCATATCCGAGGAAGGAATTAAGCTGGGAATCAAGCAGCAGAACGGTCCCCAATTTGGATAACAAACCAACCCCCATTACAAAATTTCACCCTTTCATTCTCCTTATCCCATTCACCCCACAAAAGGGGGAAAAAAAAAAAAAAAGATTCTCCCCTTGTTCCGTGTCCTTTACTACTACGAATCTTAAGAACACTCCAGAGTACACACTAGAAAATCAAATCACCCACAACCCAAGAAACCCAAAAACCTCAAAACACCACCCCATCAAGATTTATATCCCAAAGCTTCAAACTTTCCCCAAAATAAAAAAGATCCAAATTTTATTTTCTTTAAAATCGAACCATGCAACGCCGTCTTCTAGAAACCGAGCTTACGATGCCACCGTCGTACGGAAACAACACCCGCGATTCGTTCATTAACGACACGAACTTCGACACCAACATGGTTATCATTTTGGCGGCACTGTTGTGCGCGTTGATATGCGCGTTGGGGTTGAACTCGATAGCTCGTTGCGCTCTACGGTGTAGCCGGAGATTCTCGGAGGAGACGCCGGAGCAAGCGGCGGCGAGGATGGCCGGAACGGGGCTGAAGAAGCGGGACCTGAGTCGGATTCCGGTCGCGGTGTACGGCGGCGGAGAGGATATTCCGGCAACGGAGTGCCCCATATGCCTCGGGGAGTTCGAGAAAGGGGACAAAGTTCGAATGTTACCAAAGTGCAATCACGGGTTTCATGTGAGGTGCATTGACACGTGGCTCGTGTCGCATTCTTCGTGCCCCAATTGTCGCCACTCGCTGTTAGAGAAACCCAACATTTGTTCTACCAGTTCTGCTTCTGATGTTACTCAGAACGGTGGAGGAGGGGTCGCCGGAGAGTTCTCTCCGGAAAGTGGGCCCGGCCGGCGGAGCAACGTGGTCGTTGTCGTAGAGCAGGCAAGTTGAAAGACAATAATAGTGAGTGGTCCAGGACAAGTTTTGGGGAACGGAGGTTGAGAAATTAATGTTAGTAGTTAGCAGTAGTTATTAGTTGATTAATAAATATGAAGTGATCATATAGCCCTTTGTCTAGAAAAAGTTAAATATAATTTTAATTTTTAAATTAGGCTAAATTTTAATCTTGGTTCCTATAAATTTTTTATTTTTAATCTTTAAATTTTAAAAAATTATCGTTTGTCTCTGGTAGCTTATAAATGATTATGGGATTAACTCACCTGTTATCCCATATTAATATTTATACTATATGTTATATTTTTGTCAAGTCACGTGAACAAGAAACATTAAAATTAATAATTTTTAGAAATATAAAAATTTAAATTAAAAATAATTTTATAAGATGAAAATTAAATTTTAATGTATTAATATAAATATATTATTTTTATTTATTTTTCCAAATAAAAAATAAATTATGAAGATTATATTGTTAAAATTAATTGCTAAAGTTCTTACTTTACCTTGTATTAACCGTTTTCTTTTGACTTTTATAATACTAAAATAATAATATGAACAAAAGGATACTAATAATAATAGAGAACTGTAGTTAATATTGTATTATATTTTGAATTGGACAGGTAAATAAAAATATTAAAAAAATATCTCTCTAGGTAGATAAACAATAATTTTTCAAATTACTTTTTAAAATTATATATTATATATTTAGTTTTTAAAAATTTTACAAATTCTTTCTTAATTTTTAACTTTATAAAATTATATTTGCTTTTCTTTAGCCTAAAATGATGATAATAAAATAAAATACAACAACTAAAATAAATAACTTTTTTTTTTGTAAAATCAAAGTCTAATAAAATTTAAAATCACATTAGCTTGTTTGACTGGTGAGGTGATTAATTTCATGTAAAATTAAATTTACAATCTAGCATGTTTGAATGGTTGAAACTTATCTGCAAACTACAATACATATTTTAGCAACCAAAGACACAAAATTTGTGTTGCGACAGTATCTTCATCTTCAACATGATAAAACTATTTTCACTTTGAAACCAATCGCCAATCTTCTGCCATAGGATTTTTCAATGTATAGGAGATAGTTCTCGTGACCAGGATGAATTGTTCCCACAAGATTGGATATTATTCAAGTTCAACTACATACTACATACATTTAACACACAATTAATGGATGCGTTTTGTAGAAGAATATTATAATTTTATTTATAAACTCTATATTTAAGAATGTCTTTACACTTTGTTTAAAATAGTCAAAAACTTATTCGAACACTACAAGAAATCACATTTAAAAGTGGTCGTTAATGTAAATTTGTGACAAAATTTAAATTCGTCTATCATTATTAATAATTAAATTATTATTATATTTTTATAATATACGTAGTTATTAAAATAAAATATTTATTATAATAAAAATTAACGTCACTAATATATATAAATATTAATAACAAAATAATCTATTATTGATATATATAATATTAGACATTATTATTAGTCACTGTCATTCTAAAAATAATGACTAATTTATTTATTATTATTAAAAATTATTTTAAATAATATTTTTATAATAAAAAATAAAAATTTAATATTTAATAAATAAATACTTTAAATTAATAATTTATATATTATTAATCAAATTTATATTACTAATAATGTTAGTTATTATTTTTTAAAATTAACATTGTTGTTACAATTATATTATAATAATTATATTTTTAGTTGTTCAAAAATTCAAATTAAGTGTACCTCAAAATTAAAATTTTTATTATAATTTTTATATTTTTTCTTTACTTATTTGTATAAATCAATTAATAAAATATCATGTATTTATTATATTTTTTGAATTATTAGATAAAATTTTAAGATACAAAATTTAATTTAAAAATTTTAAAAATTGAAGAGACTAAATATTAATATTTAATATTTAAAAATTAAAGTTAAACACATATAAATATTGAAACACTATTATTTATAATTAATAAATTTTTATTATTATTAATAATTTTTAATTAAGTCATTATTATTAATAAAATTAATAATAATATATAAAAAATTGTCACAAATAATTAATTATTAGTGACAAAATTTACATTTATTATTAAAATATGGTCATTAAAATTAAATTTCCTGTAGTAAAAATTATAAAATATAATTAATTAAAAACAAAACTCGTTAGGTAATTTTTTAAACATGTCCCGTTCTTAAATATGAATATTATATCAAAAGATTACGTTCTTCACCGTAAAAGATAAAGTTATAAGTTTATTCCACATGTATATTATGTTAGATATAAATAAATTAAGTAATATATCAAAGAAATATTTATATGCCCGGAGAGATATCAACTTCCATCGATGTAATTTATATTTAGTAACTTTTTATTAAATAATTTTTTAAAATTAATTTATTAGATAAAAAATTATAATTTTTTTAAATTAATTGCTTTAGTTATATACATATCAAAATTAACGTAATATATAAATTTAAAATACATTAAAAAAATAAAAGTTTTTCTATTATAATCTTTTAATTATTTAATTTTGAAAAAATTTAACACAAATAATTTATATTATATAGAATTATGCCTTTAACAATCAGCTAACCTGATGTTGGACACAAAAGTTCATCCTTCCAAACATGTTTGGAATATTTTAAGTATATGTAAAATTAAAATTAGAATTTTACTGTAATAAAAAATTATTAGAAAAAAATTTAAAATATATATTAATAATCTTAAAATATATTTGATAATATAAGCTTATGATTTAAGTTAATTAACTGTGAGTCCTGTAGTTTCTTTAAATTTTTAATTAAATCTTAATGATTTAAATTATTTTATTAAGTTCTTATAGTTTTTAAAAAATTAATTAAATCATCAATAATTGATATTGTTATATATATATATATTTTTTTTTTCAACAAAAACATAAATTATATTTTTATTGTGTAATGATATATTTGAGGTCGAATTATTGTTAACACTCTAGATTTTGCATGTTAATAGAGATAAGTTTAAAATATTTTTTTTTCTTTTACTGTTTTATTATAATAAAATATTTATATAAAGTTTGTGTAAAAAATATTTTTATTTAAATATTATTTTTCTAAAAACAATTTACTAAAATATAACTTTTTTAAAATTAATTTTTTGTCTAAAATGTTTTTTTTACGTGTTATAAATTTTGTGCAAAATTTTAAATTTTTTATATTTAAAAATAAATTTCACTAGAAAAAATGCAAAAATAAAAAATATAACGTGTCATATTATTTTAAATTTTATAGTGAAACTTAATATTTAAAAAAAAAATTCATCATTAATGTTGCATGGGAAAGTAACTGACCTTTTATCACTTTGTGGGACATGAGCATTTAGCACTTATCACGGGAAAGATGGAAAGTCATATGATGGGCATTTTTCATTTATATTTGAATATTAAATTTATTTTTTTATAATATTATATTTTGATATCACAGTTCTAGAATTTAAGATAATTTGATGTGTTGAAAATTTACGAGTTTCATATTTTTTTATAATAAAAATTATTTTTTGAAAAAATTTAAAGTTTTGTCAACTATAATACGAAATAAAAAAAACTCCTGACAAAAAATTAAAAAATTTATGTTTTAGTAATTTCCTTTTATAAGAATAATATTAAAAAAAGCATATAAAAACTTGAATTATTGACGAAAGAAGTTAGATTCGAAACTTAAGTTTTCTGTAGAAGTAATTTTTAAGACTTTAATAGTGATTTAAAATCTCTTTTTTTTGTAATATTTATTAATTTATAATATTTTAATTTTTGCATATTAAGTATGTGAGCATCAATATAGTTTGAAAGATAAATTTTCAATTTAATATTCAATTTAACCACTAACAACAAATAGATTTAGAAATTTAGAAAAATTTACCTCTAAAAAATAATGACAAAAAAAGTATTACTAAAAATAAAAAAATTAAGTTGATAAATTAAAAATGCCATATAATTGATATTTAATAAAAAAATGAATGACATTAATTATTAAGAATTTAATTAAAATTAAAAATATATGAATTTAATTAAAAAATAAACTAAATAAATAAATAAAATTTATAACTTTTAAAAGTTAACTTATAAAAATCACTTCGAGTAACGTTTAGTTTATTAAAAAATATTATATTTTTATTGTATAAAAATAGAAAGGGTAAAGAATTGGCGTCGCCCGGATTCGAACCGGAGACCTTCAGTGTGTTAGACTGACGTGATAACCAACTACACCACGACACCGCTGATTCTTTAATGGATATTACAAAATAACATTAATCCTTCTTTTTAACCATTTCACATGTTTCAATTGGTTGTTTTACTAAACATGTTTCAATTACAAATTAGAATTTTTATTAGCTTGTCAGCCGCAAGCTATAAATTTTGAGTTAGTTTTACCAGTTAGGGTTGCAGAAGAAATGTATTCAAAATGATAACAAGTATGCATTTAATAGTATTTTAAAAAAACTTTTAATTCCTAAAATAGTACTCTAAAGGTACTTATTAACATGTTTCAAACTCTAACAAAAACCAGTAAAGATTATTAAAAAATATATGATATAATTTTAAAAAATAATTTAATTAAAAAATGATAATAGAAGCACTTAAGATATTGTATACACTTTGATTCTCAAATATTTTGAAGCTGTTTCCACTTTGCCACATCACATGTGATACCATTTCAAACCTGAAAGGCTCTAACGGCTAGCTAGTGTCTCCTTCATTTCAAATCACAATAGCCATTGTAGCTGGGAATGCAATCAGAGAAAGTGCAATCATGGAGACTCAAAGTTACTGCCAAAGCCAACAACTTCAACTTCAGACTCAGATTCGCTGCTTTAACTCACAAACCCACTTCCACTCTCTCCTTTTTCCGCCTCTCCATTCTCCTCAAGCTTCATAAATTCGCCTTAACAATCACTTCGCACCCAACACATCCACCATCGTTCTTCTCAACCCAATTCATTACAATTCTTCAC